CCTTCCGCCCCCCCCCCCCCCCAACCATGTAAACAATACATAATCATATAAATTAATCAAATGGAATATAAAATTTCCATCTTTCTTGTGTAGATCCTGTCCCAACATGAATGATGTTATAAGCTCGATCCCCAAAGATTTAAAATTCAGTCTTGCCAAACTGCTGGACCGCCGAAGGGAGCCAAACTGGAAATCGTTTGTGGCTAAAACACCGAAAAACGTGTATGCATTTAGGAAAGGAGAATATGAAACTCTGAGGCTTGAAATCTTGAAGGAAAATGGAAGTCCAACATTGCAACTTATCGAGAAACTTGGGACGAAGAAAGTTCAAATTTGTCATTTTATTGATATCTTAGAGAGCCTTGAGAAAGATGAAAATATTAACAAAGCTTTAGACCTGTTTATGGGAGGTATAAACATGAAGATAGCGATTTTTTAATATAGAAAGTAAAGGGGACCATCATTGCCCGCTAGGATACAAGGAAATCAGGGACATTGCTACTGGTAGGGTGGGTGTGTGTATGTGTGGGTGTGTATGTGTTGGGTTAAGTTCAAAATGTTGTTAAAAATGGAAAATATTGGGTCAAAATAGTTGATAGTAGATCATTTGTTGGTTTTTCAAATTGATATACATTGTCAACTAAATATAGTAGTTACTCAAAAGCACAAAGAAAACAAAGTATTTTGACACTCATGTGAACTTTTCACTTTGTAAAAAAACCCTCTTAAGTTAGCATTGAATTTTCACAAATTTGATGGTCCTTTTCAGGAATTAGCCACTTCCACTCCCATCATAACGTGTTCAGAATTAGAAATTTCAGAAAAATGTCCAGATCTGACTACAACCCAACAGTCTTTCACCCTTTTATTCTCCTAAACACTGCCACTGATCTATGAAATATGTAAAGCCTATACTAGTTGCCTTCAAGAATGGCCCCAGTTCAAAAGAAACATTCATAATCACAATACCCTCCTTACTGGCTCTCTTATTGATGCTGTTTACCTGTTACTTCAAGACATAAGCAGTGGCGAGGCCACAGGGGAAATGGGGTTTCAAGACCCACCCTCCTCTCCAGTATTCAAGAGAATCAACTGTGACCAAATAAATCCAAAGAGGGGGGTGCACACCGCACCTTTTGGTGTCTAGCACCCACCATAGAGAAGTCCAGCACCACAATAAAATAATCTGCTTAACCATACATTTTCTGCTGTTTGAATAGCGATTAGCAGAACTTCTACTGTTAGCGCGTGTTGATTTCTTGAAACGATTTAATTGATTTGTCAGCTCACGAGAAAATACTCAGAATACTTTAGTTAAATCATAATTTAAATATGCAAGCATTCTCGAGGTTGTTATACAACCATATTTTCAATTATACTGTACTTTAACAAGCACGTTTACTGTATTGTGCTACAGCAACTGTCCAGTCACGCATATGTGATAAAAAGCCGATATGAACGTTATAAACAAAAGATAATGTAAAACGTAACCATCGTTGTTATAAGACCTGGTTAGGAAACCCAGCAAACTTCAAAGAAATTACGCTATAAACAAACATGGAGGTTGAACATTCTGTTTGACCCTGCAGTACTGCACATATTGGTTTTAATCAATGAGAATTGACCAAACGATGTAACACAAATATTCTCCATCGAAAAATGGTAGTAATACTTCGTTATTGGCAAAATATGCCGTAAGATATAGCTCTGGTAGGCAAAACAAACAGTTGGTAAGATATAGCTCTGGTAGGCAAAACAAACAGTCAAACAATAGAAAGACAAAGGATTTTTCAACCGTGACCCTACACAAGGTACACAATCACCTAAAACAAAGGGTTTCCAAACCATGTCATATATATTAACTATGACGTAACAGAACGGCGAACATGCAGATTCAGTCGAATCTCAAATAATGGTAATGTTGGGATAGTAGCGTTGCAGACTGCAGAGGAGAGTGGGCAGTAAGGCTCTCTCATGCACTACCCCATGGAAAACCTGCACCCCTTCTTGCAGATGAGGCTAGATCTGCCCCTGCCATTCGCACAGTTCATACTGATCTGGACTCTTAACTAATGCCATTTTTTAAAATTGTGTCGGATATATAGAACCACCGTCCATTGTTGTCCAACCTCCAGCAGAAATACAACTGAGAGTCGGTGACGATCAAGTTGTACGATGCGAGGCCGTCGGCAAGCAACCCATGTTGTATCAATGGTTTAAAGAAGGGGAGAAACTAAAAGACGCAACCAACCAGGAACTCTCTTTGACTAAGGTGCAACCGATAAACGAAGGTTTATATATTTGTCGGGTGGCAAACATTCGTGGATACCAGTTTTCTAGATGGATCAGGGTTGTCGTGGAGAAGCGAAAAGAATTTGAAACTGGAGATGAAAAACCGAACGTTGAAATGGTTGAAAATATAGAACCGGATGTTGTTGAAACAGAAGCACCCGAAGTGGATGATGAAGGTGGAATAACCAATTCTGGTAAAGTTTTGAATAGGCAATTTCAGCTGTAGACGAAATTTTCATACCACCCACTTAAGTTTAGCGTCCTTTAGAATCATTTGTATGCACCCGTCGAAAGCTATAGACTGATAGCCGAAAGCTCGTAAAAATAAATATTAAGTCAGAAAATGTTCATTATGCATAATGACGTCACAAGGCTTGATGCCCGCGAGGAATGCTGGTCTCAGTAGTCATCGGCCAGGAAAATTAAACAATTCAAAATGGCCACTATCGAAATTTTCCCGGGCGATGACTACTAAGACCAGCATTCCTCACGGGTATCAAGCCTTGTGACGTCATTATGCATAAGGTCTATTGTATAATAAATAATGTTTCAACCTGGCTGCGCATAATAACATGTAACGCGGTTGCTTCTGATCTCAACATCTGACACACATGATAAATGCCATAAGTCCGCAACAAGAATCGCCCCCACGATTTCAGAGGTGAAAGGCGCTTACTCCACTGATCTGAAGTAAGACTGGATAGCGCATCTGCTGTGCATAAGTGAAGCCACTGGCGGCCATATTGGATGGCCCCACCATTAATCTAATCTGGTGTTGTGGACATGTTTAACTCTTTCTTTACGTTTCTAGTCACTAGTGGGAAAGGACAAATATTGCCTAGATAACTATTTGTCACCAGTATAACCCCTCTTTTTTATGGCCGCCATTCATTCTAAGATGCTCTTTCTATCGGTGGTGTTGGATTTTGTTCTTCTTGCCTTGATCAAAATTTAGTCTAAAGCTGGAATCACCCATTCAATAGGATGCTTTATCCTGTCTTATTTCAGATCAGTGGCTTACTCCAAAGTTTGCGTCACCATGAACGTTCTGAAATGTACACTTCCTATTTTTAGATTATTGCACAGGATCACTGTGCCAGCCATGTGTGACCATACATCCACAATCAGTAACCTTATCTAATGGTAGCCTTCTGTCGTTGTCGTGTGATTGTGGTGCAGGTCCCAAGCCAAGCTTTCAATGGTTGAAAGATGAAGAGGAAATACCCGGTGCAACATTTCCTGAGTTGGTTATATCACCTGTATCGGAAGATCACGAGGGCACTTATACATGTCGCGTGTTTAATAACGTTGGCACTGTCAACTCACGTTCTGCTAATGTTCGTATTACAAAACAGAAAGCCAAAGGTAGAGTCAGGGTTTAAAATAAATAATTTAAATTTAGATATGTTTGTAGGCTGTTTGGTGCGTGTACCTTTTTTGTACCGGCGATTTTTTTCAGGCTCTGATAAGTCAAACAAAAAATGATTGCGCAGAAAGTACCGCCATGTACAAAAGCTGCAGCAAAATAGAAAATGCAATGTATGCAACAGTCTTTTTTAAAAAATGCACCACATTTGGGCCGAAAGTGCATGGTGCAAATTCCCGCGCGTAATACAAATTAATACAAAATTTCCTAACATGCTCTTTCTAGCTGTAGTGATGGATTTTGTTCTTTTTGCCTGGATCAAAATTTAGTCTATAACTCGAAAACTTACCTATAGGCTTAAGTGTGGTCCCAATTCTGACTTCTTGAATACTTAATATCTTCATTTCAGAGCAAAGAATTCCAATGAAAATCCCTGAAGAACCCCAAGAAGGTATCATATTTTCCTTAATATAAACAAAATACAAAGTAAAGTTAGTAAAGTAACTAAAACACTACAAACTACGCAGGAATACATTATTTATACCGGATAGCTCAGTTCTACAAACGCAAAAATCTTACATCTTGTAGCAAGTCTGCCTTTCTCACTGCTTGTCCCAAGTTGTCAACAAGTTTGGAACAAGCTGTTAACAACTTATAACAACCTTGTTGATATTATCCGATTTGTTGCAAGGTTGTTTCCAACAAGTCCGGTACAGTCAAGATATAACAATATTGTTACAACCTTGTGTCGTCAACCTTGTAACATTCATGTTATATCATGACTGTATCAGACTTGTTAGAACAACCTTGTGACAAGTCTGACAATATTATCAAGCTTGTTACAGGTTGTTAACAGCTTGTTACAACAACTGGGAACAAGCAGTACGAACACAACTTGTGGACAGCTTGTGAACAGATTTGTGACAACTTGTTTGAAAACGCACAAGTTGTTACAGGTCTGCCAACAAGCTTGATGGCGTTATACAAGACTTGTTACAAGGTTGTTCTAACAAGTTTGACACAGTCATGGTATAACACGAATGTTACAAGGTTGTAACAATATTGTTATATCATGACTGTATCGGACTTGTTGGAAAAATCTTGCAACAAGTCTGATAATATCAACAAAAGTTGTTACAAGTTGTTAACAGCCTGTGGCAAGCAGTGCGAACACAACTTGTTGACGGTTTGTTGGCAGACTTGCTACAAGATGTGAGATTTTTGCGTGTGCAGAGTCAAACTGAAAGCATTCTTCTCACATGTGACTGAGGTGAAATTATAATGAGACAACTGCATATTGCAAGGATCGAATCCAGTGGCAAAGATGAAAGGCACAATCATGCACATAATGACAATGATCATTGTGCTAGACGTGTAACTGCCTGAAAGTATTTTTCTACGAAAAGTGACATTACGTTGTTAATTGCGTTAGTGTGTGACAAGGTTGCTTTGTTGATTGGCAACAGAGACTATGATCATTGCGACAAGTTAGGAAAGTTGTATCACCCCACGAATGACGTTCGTGATATCGCTGGCGTCTTGCAAAGTATTGGCTTTAAGGTACGTTGAGAATTCTTGCAGAGGTGGTGTCTATGTCGTGTCCTGTGCTTACCTTACCACCCCCCCCTACAGAAGCCTAGTACCATGCTAAAAAATGAACAATAATACATTTTCTGCATTTCGAATAGCATTTTGCGGAACTTCTACTGTTAGCGCGTGTCGATTTCTTGAAACGATTTAATCGATTTGTGAGCTCACGAGAAAATACTCAGAATGCTTTAGTTAAATATCATGGTTAAATTATATGTAAACATGTCGAGGTTGTTATACAGCCATTTTCAAATATACTCTACTTTAACAAGCAAAGTTACTGTACTGTGCTACAGCAACTGTCCAGTCACGCATACGTGATGGTAAAAGGCCGATATAAACTTTATAAACAAAAGATAAATGTAAAACGTAACAGAACGGCGAACATGCAGATTCGGCCATCTCAAATAATGGTAATGTTGGGATAGTAGCGTTGCAGACTGCAGAGGAGAGTGGGCAGTAAGGCTCCCTCATGCACCACCCCATGGAAAACCTGCACCCCTCCTTGCAGATGAGGCTAGATTCGCCCCTGAATTCTTGAGTCATTTAACCCATTGAGTATTTTGCACTTTTTTCCTTCATGAGCAAAGTCTGAGCAAAGCCTGGCGTTCAACAGAGTAAAATAACAAAGTAGGGCTCGTTTAGGCGCAATTATATCACTTTGCATTGAATGGCAGATAATCTGATCAACCCAATGCAGCCAGCACTTTCCCCTTGACGAGTAAAATCATCAGGAATTACAAAAGAGATTTAGTTGGTATGCAAAAAAAACAAACTGTATCCTTAGTGTGCTTAGCATGAAATATAATTTTACTGTAGGTTATATCACTCGCTAATCTCCGGCTGGACGAAATGCGAGAAGCTTTGAAATTGTTCGCCAAGCTTCTCGACTCCGGTGTCTACGCTGTGTTCTATTTTGCTGGTCATGGTTTTGAAGCTGGAGGCAAGAGTTATTTGATGCCAGTCAATGCTGACGAGAAGTATGATTGTTCTCAAAACCTCCCCGCAAATGAGGTGCTGCAGATTATGCAAGAAAGAGAAGCGATGCTCAAAGTTCTCCTGATTGACTGCTGTAGAACAAGGTAAGGAAATCAGATGAATTTGTAAAGTAAATCCGAGAGGCACACAAGTAAAAAAGTTGTTACAGATCTACAAGGCCAAAAAAAATGTGGGTTTTCGGTTTCTTCTTATAAAAACTTAGGTAGGGTAGGTCGGTTTTAACTTTTTTTTTTAACTTTTTTTTAATTTTCCGAATAAGCGGACGCCAATTTGTTTCGTCAGTGCTTCCACATCCAAAGATAAATTTCCCTAATATTGCCTCAAATTTCAATTTTCCACAAACTTTTTCCTCTAAGTGGAAACACTTACAAGCATGATCCAATAAAAAAGTTTAGGGTCGGGATTTCGACGTCCAAAAGCTAGGTATAGGGTCGGGAAACCGGAAACCCACATTTTTTCCCCAAACAGGTTGTAACAAGGTTGTTGTGAAGCCGATATCAGGATGTGTTCGCACTGCTTGTTCCCAGTTGTTGTGGCAAGTCTGGAACAAGTTGTTATCACCTTGTCAACAAGGTTGATGACGGTAACAGATTTGCTACAAATTGTTCCAACATGACTGATACAAGCTGTTCGTAACAAGTTGCTACGAGTTTGTTGTTATCACCTTGTTGCAAGGTTGATGATGGTAACAGACTTTCTACGACTACAAGTTGTTCCAACAAGACTAATACGAGCTTGTTGTTATCAACTTGCTAACAACATGTTACGTGCAGACGATATCAGACTTGTCGGAACAACTTGTTGCGAGTCTGTTGGCCTCATCAACCTTGTTACAAGATGATAACAACTTGTTCCAGACTTGTCAACAACTGGGAACAAGCAGTGCGAACACATCTTGTTCACAAGCTGTGTCTGGGAGATTTTTACGCATGTACTGTAGACCCATAATTCCTTAGTCCCATGTCATCATCGGTTCACTGCCAACTCGTATACTGCAAGCTTGAAAAGGTTCATACATCGTCATTCTCTTCATATCGACATTTTAGCCCTGGTAATCAAAGCACGCGAGATTTTCGAGATCCCATTTTATCTGGCGGTCTGAACGCGGAACAGGAGAACGTCGTTATTGCATTTGGATGGTAAGCACTAAATTATATTCTCATGCAGGCAGTGTACATGGTTTGTTTCCTGCATTATAATTCACTTTCAGGCCTTAAAATATCTTTTCCAGGGCCGTCTGACAAAATGTCCGGTGACGTTGAGTTTGGGTTGGACATATGTCCGATGACCTTCAGTTCAGTTTTGACTCGGAAATAAGTCTGAATGACACAAATGAATAAACGGTAAATTTTGTAAAGATATTAAATAATTTGTTTCTTTCATACTTATTTCCAAGCCAAAATTAACTTGCTTGCCAGAACAGCAGTATTAAAAAAGACTTCGACAACTTAAGCCCGTTTTCCACTTCACCATTCCGCTCGCCGCCCCGCGCTCGACTACGTTAAAACAACATTTCCAGTTCACCTTTTACACAACAGTACTCTGATTTTCCATTTAACATACAAGCCTCTAGTCCTGGTCTAGGGTACATTTTGATTTACGTCGGACAAAGCTACAGTTCGGTCGGACACCAATACACTTGGGTCGGACAAACAATAAACCTCAGTTTCACTTTGGTCGGACAGAATGTCCGGTGGTTTCCTCTCTACGTCGGACAATTTCGCGAATGGGTCGGACAATGTCCGTGACCGACCGATATTTTAAGGCCTGTCACTTTAGTCGCATAGTTAGTGAGATTTTTTGCAGTTCGACTCTACTATAAACGTTGGCCCGGTACTCCTGCAAAAACTCTGACCAATAAGTGATGACCCGTACTAAACCCAGAGGTGTAACTTAACACTTACCCTGGGCAAGTGAATATCATGATGGGCAAGTAAACGTTTTATCTTGCTTGCCCGATGCAACTTGCCACAAAATGCTGGGCATCTTTAAGTCTATGTTTCATTGTCAGATAAATTTTTTATAGTGCATGTATGCATTGTGGGCCAAAGGTAGATCTGAGCCATATAGAGCAATGGGAGAACGGGTCGACATGTTGTCCCCTTAATTTATACCCCCTACCTACGTACCCCAGTGGCCATTGTCTACTGGCGAGTACTTTAACCCATTAAGCGCCAGCGCTCTCCCCTTGACGAGAAAGATCATCTTGCATTAGGCAGAGTAAAATATGAAAGTAGGGCACAGTTTAATTACTTAAATAAAGGCAAGTAAGTTTAGTTAGTCTAAAACGATTGTGATATTAAAGGGAACAGGATTAAATTGAGCAAATTGATTTGTTCTTTTATTTTCTTTAAGTTGTTCTCAGGGTCGAGTATTTGAACATCGTTTGAAAAGAAACGGATATTTTGCCATGCACCTGCTGGAACACCTCGGAGACCACGAGAAAAATGTTGAACAAGTATTGCTGGAAGTTGCCAAAGGTTCAAACACATGCATTTATTCTGTTTAGCTTTAATATCTGGTAGATGAGGAAAGTTGTGGACTAAGACCACAGAATAAGGTACACAGAAGGCCGACTTCTTGGTTTTTCCTATGATTTTCCTATGATTTTGGCAAGGCCAAAAAAAAATATGTGGGTTTCCGGTTTCCCGACCCTACCTAGCTTTTGGACGTCGAAATCCCGACCCTAAACTTTTTTATTGGATCATGCTTGTAAGTGTTTCCACTTAGAGGAAAAAGTTGTGGAAAATTGAAGTTTGAGGCAATATTAGGGAAATTTATCTTTGGATGTGGAAGCACTGACTGAACAAAGTGGCGTCCGGTTGTTTAGTTAGGAAAATTAAAAAAACAAGTTAAAAAAAAGAAGTTAAAACCGACCTACCCTACCTAAGTTTTTAGTGTGAAGTTTCACTTCACACTGTTGTGATGGCTGGCGAATTCACACGAATCAGTCGTCAAACAGTCAGAGAGTAAACTTTCCGGGGGGTGTATACGATATATGTTCGCAGTGATTTATTGTACTTAGTCAGTGCTTTGAAGGTTATTTAAGCAATTTTAATATATTTTTTCTTTTAATATTCTTTTGTCCTTTTGCCAAGTTCACAAAAATTTCGAGGAATCGTTGTCGTTATTGTAATTTTTTGTAATTTTAGAACATTCGCTTCTCACGTTGTGTAAAGGATCTTTACCCCGGAACACCCGATTTTTTCTTTAGTAGCGCAAATACGCATGCGCTATCAAGCCGTAGATCACGATGGCGTGACGATATGCTAGGAAGGAGTGACAGTGTTGTGTCAATGTATAAACATTTCAGACGTGAATATTGAGTAAATGTTTGAAAATCTACGCAAAATACAAATTGATCTTATACATTACGGGTGTTCAATTAAGTGCCGATAATATTTAGACGGTATATTCATTATACAGAGCTAGGAAGGAGCTAGACCGCCTAGACAGTGCAGTCAAGTGTATAAACATTTCAGACGTAAATATTGAGTCGAAAATCTTTGAGATTCTAGGCATTCAATTGAGTGCCGATATTATTTTCACGGCATACTCATTATACAGAACTACAGTACGTAGGCAGAAGCGAGACAGTGTTGTTTTCAAGTATATAAACATTTCAGACATGAATATTGAGAAAATCTTTGAGATTCTACGCAATAATACAATATGTAAATTTATGTTATGCATTACGGGCATTCAAGTAAGTGCCCATCGATATTATTTAGACCGTGTATTCATTATACATTGTCATTGACTGTATAAGGTGCTACATCACAGAATAGATGACTACACTCAGTACAAAGAGCGAAAAATTGCGGGTATCAGATCAATAAAGCATAAACAACTATTAAACAGAAGTGGGTAAATGTTTGTACGGCGTTTACGAAGAAAATAACTTGCGAGACTAAAGAAATCAGTTGAGGCAGAGCTCCTTATTTAAATGAGAAAGACGAGGAGATAGCCAATGTGTTATCGCCAATCGCTTGGCTCGCCAACAAGCTTGATGCAATAGAAGAAAAAGGCAACATGTAGCCAACGTGTACCGTCACGGACCTTGTCTTTGTTTACTGTCTAGCACAACGCCGTTGTCAACGGTGCAAATTCGTGTTCAGTTCAACGATAACTCTACCATATCGTACGAGAATCAATCTGTAGTATTCTGTACACAGAACTGTATCAAAGCTTGTCAAAATCAAAACTGCTTTAACACTGCTTAACTGTGAAACTATTGAAATCTAAAGTGACATTATTCAACACATGCGAAAAGCTGAAAATAGACGTGACACTGGAAAGTCAAAGGTCAATGTGACTTGTTATTGTGAAACATGTCACAATTAGGTTAAAATGCGGAATCGGGTGAAGCGGATCCACGGAACGGATATGCGGGTAAAATAAGGAACGGGTGAGGATAAAATGCGTCCTTTTAATGATGTAACGACGTGTGCTTATTACTCATAACATATCTTATACAGCTATTTCAATTATAGTTTTAGATAAATTTAGCATAGCAGTAGCCTGGTGGAGATGCTTTTAGCGACAGCTGCAAATCCAAATGAAAATTTAGAATATGCAAAATTTGGTTGTTGGTGAAACAATTTAAATTTCGAATTGTCGCGTGTAGATCACAATAAATAGATAAATTGCATCAGTTTCACGAGGCAAGTTTCTGATGTGTTAGGCTTGTTTCAAACGTCACGCTACTTGTGTGCCGAGCGTATTAAAAGCAATTAATAATGAGATGAAATGCCTTTGGTAACTGTTTATTTCGTAGTGCAAGTCATCAGCTTTTCTAGGTTGTCGGCGACCCTATATAGTTCTTGCAGTGTCTTTTTCAATTTGAAACTTCACACTATCCTTGGATCCCTAGTTAACATTTTGGGGGAATTTTTTTTAAGACAGCAAAAATTATTTTCTTTGAAAAATGTTAACTTGTGCCCAGTACAACTAGCACAACCTCTAGCTTCGCCACTGATGTGATACATATTAGGTGACCAGCTGATTTACTTGCTTATGTTTTTAAGGAGATGATACTTTATCCACATAGGCGAGGGTTGTACACAGCATTTCTTGTAAAAATTAGTATTTGTGCTTTTCATGAAAAGGAAAAGATAACAAAAACTGGTTAACCTCCCAAGCGTAGTAGGAATGCAACTATCTGAAAAATATAAGGAGAATTTGGACGTTTCGAGCGAAGGCTCCTAGTAATTCCAGACGAAAGGCCTTCACTTGCACAAGTGGAAAAGTATCGGACCACAGAGTTCTGAGTTTTAATTTTGAGTTCTCAGAAAATATTTCCCCTTGAAGGAAGAAAAATTACAAGTAATAATTTAGATAAAAAGGAGAAATTCAGAGGAAAATTCACACTTGTGATTGACCGATTGTGCAACGATCAGAAATTACCGATTATTCATGGCACAATCTGCCAGATACCGATATCGATTTTATAATGCAGTCATAATATCAGTCGACCGAGTAAAGGTGACATCATTCATGTCGATTTTTTAACGATAATTTCCAATGTAACATGTTACTACAACCAAACTAGAAATCATTGACCCTAATCTTTCTTAATCTGATGCGTTTGCAAAGAGTTTGGAGCAATTTTTGTCCCTAGTTTGTGGGGTTAGAGTTTTGTACTAGCTACATAATGTATAACCTGTTTGTTTCAAAGTTGATATGTTATTTAACAAATGTTTGTTATGTTATTTAGCAAAACAGGGAAGAAAAAGTATCTCATCAATGATGAACCGAAAGAAATTAAACCATATCTGGAGAAGAAAATTTATGAGAATTTTAGTTTAACAAAAGAAGAAATAAAGGAGATTGTTGTTCGTCCTGCTGGCATGAATATCAACGAGTGGCTCGCTACTCACAGTAAGTATTTCTATACGTGTATTTCTTTAGTGATCGCTCACGTCCAGTCAAATATGTTGTTTGCACGTGATTTATAGTGTTTTTTTAGCAATTTTCATTTCAACTTTTTGGCTTACATACGAAAACAGATATTTCTGACTTGTTTGACATGAAAATAAAAGATTAATGTTGAAAATACTAAAAATAACAAATTATTTCGCATTGATGCTTGTATTTCGCATTGTATTAATAATCCAGCGTTTCTTTTAATTTATTTTTGTTGTTTGTTTTATTGTGTTAAAACTTTTCAAAATAGTCAACAACAACTCGTAACTGTTTTATTAGGTTTAGCATAAAACAATACATGTGAATTGAGTTGAATGACAGGACTTACATAAGTTTCGGCATCAGTTCAACTGTTCAAGAGTTCATTGTTGTAGACAGTATTATTTCAGTCTGTGACACAACAAGTTGAAAATTTTTAGCATTATAAAAGACAAAATGGTGAACGTCAACACGTAAAAGACAAAACTACAGTAGTCAATAACATACGTACTGTTCGAATTCTGAAAAATTTAGGATTATAATTGAAAAAGTGGCGCTTTGTTCCAATAATAATACCGAGCCACGAAGATTCCACGCGCGAGGATGGCGCCTGATCTATATAAATGTCCAGACACACTGGGCGCGATTCGACAACGCGACGCGATTTTTCGATTTTCACTGGCCGACAACATTGATCCTAGTTTAAACTTTCCAAATATTTAGAAGCGTTATAACATTTTGAGTTATTTGGTGTACATACCTTTTAATTTTCCCTCATTGACTGTTTTTTAATTATTAACTTTCAAAAACTAAAAAATCGCGTCGCGTTGTCGAATCGCGTCCGGTGTGTCTGGACCCTAAATTGTGTTTTTTAAATGGTACTAATTATATCTGTAGGGAGCTACCTTAAAGGGAAATGGCAATATATTTTTTTATTTTCTCGTTTAAAAGAACATTTAAAACCATATATAAAACTCTTTTACCGTTTTTTCATATCTTGCTTACTTCTACAAATATTTTAATCGAAAGAAATGAAATGTCCGCCATCTTGGATTTTTGTAGATATGCATGTTACGTCACAACAGGGGTCATGCAATATTTTTATCTAGACAACCACTGATCATTTTGCACTAAAAATTATACTCCGTATGCCCTTGGAAATATCAAGGTCAGTTGAAACCTTTAAAACATCTACCAATCAATATTTGGTCAACAACGAATACTTTTATATGGTTAATCCCTGTTGTGACGTCACCAAAACTACCGTTAATGAGATAAAAAAATTATCCAAGATGGCTGACATCTCATTACTTCAAGTGAAAATATTTCAAGAACTAAGCAAGATATGAAGAATCGGTAAAAGAAGTTATTAAATAATTTCAAAAGTTCTTTCAAATGCGAAAATAAAAAAATATATTGCCATTTCCCTTTAAGCGGACACCTTCTAGACCAAATTGGACGAGAGAGTATACGATTACGTATTGATGATATTCATGAAAAGCATTGCTAACAAGCATTATTTTTCAGTCTGTGTGCTCCTTTTATTAAAGTTAAATTCACGTACGATTTTCAATTTAAAGTGTACAAAATGTCGTCGAAAAAATGAAAATTTACATTATTTTTATCTGCCGCCTAGTTGATTTCTCCTGCCTCGTTTCCAGGCTCTGTTCTTGTTTTGTTAATTTGCACTGCAGAAATTGACCTTATGCATAATAACGTCACAAGGCTTGATGCCCGCGAGGAGTGCTGGTCTTAGTAGTCATCGATCGCCCAGGAAAATTTCCATAGTGGCCATTTTGAATTGTTTAATTTTCCCGGGCGATGACTACTAAGACCAGCATTCCTCGCGGGCATCAAGCCTTGTGACGTCATTATGCATAAGGTCTATTGCACAGTGTGCACTGCTCTTAGCAAATCAGAATCGAGTAATTCATGTATGTTATTGGTATTTGTGTAATGTTGCCTTTCTTTATTTTCTTTTTGAGCATTAACACTGTTCAACAGCATCAATCAAATTTATGGAGCAATTACAGAGTTTTGTACTGCGACCACATGTCCAAGCATGACTGCTGGTACAGTGTAAGTACACTTTTGCTGTTTATATAAAGAGCGTTTATACTTATTTGTAAACAAGTTGGTCTGATGATGATTCTGTACTAGAATCAAAACATAACCATATAACCACACAGGGCTCGGATAGAGAAAAAAATATGGCCTGCCTGGCTAAAAATTTATTTCATCTGCCAAAAAAAATTTAGACTGCCAAAATGGCAATGTCTCATATGAGTCATATTGTAAAAATAGGTACGCTAGGCGTACATGTATCTGCGCAAAGGAATTCCATGGTTGCTATAAAAAAAATTAATTCACAATTATTGAGTAAACTGCTGGCTATATAGTGAATAAGAAAAAATATGCTAAATTAGACAAAACACAACCCGACCCGCGTTTCATTTTCCGCATGCAGCGTCTATACCGTATACGCTAACGGCAAGCTCGGTAAAAGCTAGCGCAAACAATTTTTTTATATTTAATTATAATCACTATATAGCCGGCAGTTTACTAAATACCCGACTGCCAGCTATATACTAGTCACTTTGTTTATATTTGACAAAAAATGTTCAGATTGCAGTCTCTTCTCTACCGCAATCAACTGTCAGAAAACCACCACTGTTAATTTATAATAAAAACAGATTAAGAGTTATTTATGAAATGGTTACAAAATTGCTGAGGTAAATACTGTACCCACATTTAATGTATGCCGTATGGTAAATGAAAAAAATGCATACAATCTGTAAAGAAATTTTATTAACTTTAACTCAGCTTATGAAGCAATCCTATAATCCAAACATGTCCTGTGACTAATGCACCACATGACAAAATCTTAACGTAACATAATAATTCTAAATGCTGTGACTATATAAAATGTACCGTATATATATATATAAACAACATTTTGACATCCCATACAGTATACATTAATTATGAATAGACAGTCGATATTATTAAAAGCATGCACGGTCACTCACGAAAAAGCTTTACGATGTTACTTTGGGCAGTCTTCTAGGAACAAAAACTTTTTTTATCGGAGAATTTTGACTTATATACATAGCCAGGGCAAAATAAATACCTCGTCACTCTGCAGAAAGCCGCCATCTTTGTTTTACTGCCTGTTCGCAGGCGTACAGCCCTAATTAGTCGACCTGAGTGTTTAACGCACGCACGCGTGCACACACAACTCGATAGCATGGTATCTAGCGCTACGCGCAGATACAAAAATCAATGTTTTCATGATATGCATTTTATTATTTTTAAACTTGTCTATTTTACTACAGTAAACTTGGATTTGCATTTCAAATCTAAACGTATTTAGTCAACTAAATGATCTAGTATGTATGAGTTGTGATAAGCAAATGAAATGAAATGTATCTATAGGATTTCACCTGCAATTTTTTTGACTTGGCAGTTCAAATTTTTTTTTGCCTGACATTTCTAAAATATGGCCTGCTTTTGGCCATTGGCAGCCCGCTATTTCGAGCCCTGTAACCATGCACATATTGTTTTAGTCCATATCTAGGATCTGAAGATGTTTTCATTTGTCCGTTAGCCATCAAACTATGGGGCTCGCTCAGGCTCGCCCCAATTAAATATTTGTGACAATGCCAACATGGTAAATTAAATAAACATTATGCGAATTACGTATTGTGATCATTATTTGGCGACTCTCTTTTCGAAAACACCTGGGATATACAGTATAAGGCTTGCAAGCAGGGCAGGAAAAAAGAATTTTCTTCCTGGGAGCACAACCTGCATGAGACAACAATCTTCTGCAGACCAATGGAGTATTTTTGTTTTGAATCTTCATGTGCATGCATAAACTTATAGTGTTCTAGCTGACCATGGTTGTAAATTCAAGGAATAATGTCTGTCAACCATATCTGTATGTTGTTGCGCCCATAATGGGTCATAGGTGTTAAGGTTTCCTTCAAATTTTCAATAGCAAATCTTCATTCAAACGAATTTCCTGCAGCTGTTTAACATTTCCTGCGAGCACTAGTGCTCGGCTCGCCTATTTTTTCCACCCCTGCTTGCAAGTAGCTAAGGGAATGCATGCATAGTTTATATTAGCATTCCGTTCCAAAACGTTTAGCCACATGCAATTATTATACATTGTATAGTTGGTAAAAGCAATTTGATTGGCTAAGAGCTTACAGTTAAATCACGCAATCTACACAAAATACAGTTATCTGCTAGCAGATAACTGAGTTATCTGCAAATGAGCCTGCAATGATTAGCAAGCGGTATCTATTTACCACAAACAAAGGATAACTAGCAAAGCAAACTTTTGAACAAACGTAGAAAAAATGTGAATATGGATAGGTTTTCATAAATAAAGTTTTTCATGCGTTAATACTATGTTTATTATTCTTCAAATGTATAATAAAACAATTATTGAATTCGGTTGTTGCGATATGCAAAATTATCAAGGTCTCGGTAAGCGTTATCAGCCTCGCCTTCGGCTCGGCTGATAACGCTTACCTCGACTTTGATAATTCCGCATATCACAAAAACCTTATCTAATGATATTTTTTGTACTAATATTACTTACAATATTTTTTGCTAAATTTTCAAACGGAGAATTGCTAACAGATTGTACAATTTCGCTTTTTCCTAGCATATACAGTTGGTATGGGCGCAAAGGCAAAATATCAGCACCACAATATATTGACTTGGTGATGACACATATACAAAAACATGTTGAAGATGAATCTTGTTTACCGTCAAAATATGGTAAGATTGATGCGCGTTTATTTGATTGGGGATGCAGGTAGCTCATGCATGGGAATGGGAAATACAAATTGCTATGCCGTTGACTGTATTGCAATGAGAGACGTTTTTCTAATATGTTGTGAACCAGTTGGAAATGAAAAAAGCCTGAGAATATTCAGTTTCAGGCTCAAAATGAAGTGTGGTTAGTAAAATAAATGTTTCTCAAAACTGTAGCAATCGATATTCCGAGCGGAAAACGAAGTTGTGTTAAAAATATATTTCATATTTATTTCTATTCGCTTATTCAAATTTGAATTTTCTAACCGTTTATACCGCTGTATATAAAGACTAGCGACCTTAAGCATGTAGGACGGGAAGTGAACGCGACGGCGACGGCAAACGAACTCGTTGAACCAAATGATTGCACAAAAAGACATGCGTCTATTATCCATCGTATGAAAATAATACAGTTCAAGGATCAAGATTAACACAGGGTTTATGACTGAAAAAACTTCTAGGACCCAATTTAAAATAGCACGTGGCGACGTCTAAAACATTCGTGCCTTCGTGGGATTTTGTTGAATTGATTTTGCATGTTCGTATCTGACAAAGCTGTTTCAAATTCATTAATGTTGCGTTTTGAACAATTCAACGTCACATTTTACTGATTTCTAACGCCTTCTCTTATAATCAGTATTTAGTGCTTCAATTTGCTGATACATGGCCTTGAATGTCCTTAAAAAGTCCTTGAATCTGACTCTATCTGAATCTGACTCTACGCACCCTGATATAATCAAGTAGTATATTATACAGTATGCGTTATACAGGGTGTATCAAAAAAAGCGCAATCCTCGACTGAAATGTAAATTGCTAAACAAATAATAGATGAAAACGTTAAAGTTTACATTCATTTTAAAGCGTAGCCATTCAGCTTTCTAACAGTGGGTTGTTTCTTAAATTTGACTCATTGGTTCGCGGATAATAATACTTTACGTTATTGCGATTGGAGATTAAAAAAATTGAGATGGAATAACAAATCGTTCTCATGAAAATAACTGATTTTTTCATTAAAACAAACAAATGTTGCATTTTATTAAATGGATTGTAACAATAAGTATAATTACGGCTTTTCTTCCATTATTTTTAACTCAGTTTGAAACTTCAAATGCGATATAATTTTGGCTTGGACCATCTAAACTGACTGACATCAACTTGCTATAATTTCTGTTTACATTACATCGCAATTCGATGACACTCTGGCTCAGACACCAGAATGTTTTGACGATTTTTAGCATTCGTTTAGGATTTTCAAACAACCTGGTCTTTTTTAAAATACTTTTAATTTGTTCTTACGTGGTTTTCCAGTTGTAGTGACGACAACATTAAAGTTTAAAGAAGAAAATTCTAACATTTAAACCGACTAAACAATAACACAGTAAACTTGCATATTTAAACAGCAACTAAAAATGATAGGTTTTACTAAATCTTTTCTTGTGCAATTATTACTAGCATTGGAGACAAGGATAATAGTTTGTTTGAAAGAGAAAAGAACAGGCTTTGAAGTAAGCCTAAAAGCGTTCAACTAGAAATAGTATTTCGAAAGTTATTAAGCACAAAAGATGCATTGCGTTTATTTTGATACACCCTGTAGTTTTGAGCGCGTGTCATTTCACATTCAGTTTTCATTCTGTAGGTTCAAAATTTCCCGCTAGTTTTGGTACATCGGTAAAGAAATTCATCAAGCTATTGCTTCATGTTCTTGGACATTTATACTACAGTCATATTGAAGATGTCAGTGAATTGCAGCTTCTTCCTTATTTAAATACAGTTTTTATTCATTTAATGTATTTTGATAACAAATTTTCGTTACTAGAAGCCAAAGATACTGTTCCTTTAGACGATCTAGCTCAAGCTATGAACTTGAATCTTGAGCCAAAACAAAGTTAAAATAATTAGAAAACGAATAATATATATTCTAATCTTATAAAGAATGGTGCAATAGTGCTGTGTTGTTCACTGTATATATGCTACTATAAATATATTATACATTAATAAATGCTATGCTGCCCTTAAGGCTAATAATGATGTGGTCGCAAGATTACAGTGATTTACAACCTGTATTATAATTGGGGGCTGTATCATCCTCGCTCCCAGGGCCTCTCGGCCGCGCGCGATCTTCATAGGCCTTGGGACACACGGAAGCGAATGTGCAAGAAAACTTGTAGTAGTCTCTAAAGCGCATGCTCTACAATTGGGACGCTTTAGCACCCGTAATAATTTTCACAGAGAAGTATTATGAAGAAACGAAGTATTTGTGTTGACATATTTTGATAGAATAATTTTGCTTAGCGAAAATTGCTCAACTTCTGGGAAATAGTAGTTCTCCGAGAAGCCAATCAGATCTCTCCCTTTAGTCGTCTAAACCCAGAGCCTAATTTTTCACGAGTGACAGAGTGAAAATAACTCTGGGAACGAGAATGGGGCAGTATTTAAAACCAAACGAACACTAGAAATGGGCCACCCTCGTTTCCAGGGCTTTTCGTACAGTCAGGCGAGACACCCCGTGAACGCAGGTGGAAATGGGCTCGAAATAACGATCCATTTCAGCCTCGTACTCAGGCTCTTTCCTCCTGTGAGCACGACCAGAAATTGGACAGAAAAATGTCGCTGAACATTCATTGCATCTTCGCATAACATTGTGGGTTGAGTCAAGAATTTTTCCCCACTTTTTGTTCTCTATTTCGACTTATTTGTGGCGAATAAGGCTTAAATTATATATTTAAATAGTTTTTAATTATCCTTGAGTCACCTAATATTTTCCTTGGGCCATTAATCATTTCTTAAGCCTGCCGCACACGAGAGCAACTTGCTTGAGCTAAACACCTCGCGAGGCGGTTAGGTCAGCTATGTATTTTCACCGCACACGTTGGGAAAACTACTCAACAACAACATAATTAACAAAATTATTTGCATTTCCCTCCATTTTGTTCCATGTTACATGAAGAAACTATGGTTTGTCATTGGCTAATTGATTGAAGCAGGTCAGCACTCAGCTCACAATATCCGCAGACGCTGAGATTTTTTCCTCGCGAGGCGAAAAATATCAAACACGATAGATATTTTCCTCAACGCCTCGAGAGGTCAAATCCTCACGAAAACTATCCGCACACGAGAGCTACTTGCTGAGCTAACCGCTTCGCGAGGCGGTTAGCTCAGCAAGTTGCTCTCGTGTGCGGCGGGCTTAATTAATCTCGCAATAGACCTTATGCATAATGACGTCACAAGGCTTGATGCCCACGAGGAATGCTGGTCTTAGTAGTCATCGCCCTTTTGAATTGTATAATATTCCCTGGTGATTACTACTAAGTCCAGCATTCCCCGCGGGCATCAAGCCTTGTGACGTCATTATGCATAAGGTCTATTCCAACCTGGGAACGAGGTTGGGTCTATTCTACCATTATATCAAATCCTTTACAGACTACTGAGTGTATATCTTTAAATGATTTGGCAGTTTTACTCATACTATTCAGTGCACGTCAGCATGTGCATTCTATGCATATTCAGTTAAAATGAGCTAGATCATCTCAGCTCTCAATTTCTGGCCGCAATTTCCGCTGATCGAGGCCCGTAGGAGCGTAGAGGACAGCGCCTGCTTGGGTACGAGGTTGGGTCCATTTGCCTTCCAGTTTAACTGAACCGCGTCATTGCGTATAGCATTCCCCCATTGTATGGACACCAAACGCTTAGCGGTAGTGAACACTTTTCTGACTGTTACAACTTGGATGATAGACAGGGTTAAACAGTACACATAAAAAATAGGAAAGAGATATTTAGGTGACATGACTAAAGCATGCAATTTATGAGTCCAACATTCGGACTACCAGTAAAAAGACTTTCCTACTTGATGTCAGAACGTTGAGTTATCGGATGTGTTGAAGATGATGTTTAAGACCAATTTTTGGGCTAGTTCCTCGGATAGAGGAGAACGGATCACGTGATCGGCTAGTTGTGTTGTTTGTGGCGTCAGATATAACCCTATCTCTAATCCTTAATCTAACCCTAACCCCAACGCTAATCACTATAACTAACTGATGACATAATCTGTGATGCAAATTCTTCTGCCCGAGGAAGTACCCAATTTTGGCTACAATTTGCAACGCAAGTTTTGACGTACAGTTATGTTATCTTGAATTAAGCCTGCCCACACGAGAGAAACTTGCTGAGCTAACCGCCTCAAGTGACAGCTAGCTCAGCTATGTAATTTCCCCGCACACGTTGGGAAAACTACTCAACGGCGACTTAACTGACAAAATCATTTGCATTTCCCTCCATTTTGTTCCAAGTCACATGAAGAAACTATGGGTTCTCATTGGCTAATTGATTCTAGCAGTTCAGCACTAAGCTCACAACATCCGCAGACGCTGAGATTTTTTCCTCGCCAGGTGAAAAATATCAAACACGATAGATATTTTCCTCAAGGCCTCGAGAGGTCAAATCCTCACGAAAACTATCCTCAAACGAGAGAAACGTGCTGAGCTAGCTGCCACCGAGGCGGTTTGCTCAGCAAGTTGCTCTCGTGTGCCGCAGGCTTTATGAGTTCGAGGGAACTTGCGACGCATGGTTCACTTTGCCGACGTTTGAGAAACCATCTGTTCAGGTGAAGAGATATTAGCCCAATCTACAATGGAAACTTTCCATTGTAGATTGGGCTAATATCTCTTCACCTGAACAGATGCTTTCTCAAAAAGTCGAATATATAATATAATGTTGGTTATTGTTACTCGTCAGGCCCTGGCATTTATTGAGCATATAATTATACTTGGTTATCTACATTGTGAATATAAAAACCATAATATTTAATCGTTTATTCTATTGTTAATGTCATGGATATTCTGTTAATATTAAGATTTAAGTTTAAGTGCTGGTTTACATCTTCTGCGAGCAAGCTTGAGGTTTTGGGCTGCCTAGGTAAGTGTCGCAAATGAGCTTAACAAGATCGTTCTGCGCTTCATTCTGTATTTGTTGTGTATGCACGCCATTCAATGTCACCCAAGGAACATACTGATGCGGTGGCTGTAGAGCATCTGTTTTCAGAGCCATTTCATGCTCCAATTTGTTGCCCAAGGGTCCTTCGACACATGACTGAATTTGAGAATAATCAAAACCAAATTTCGATGCGCATTCAGACGCGATGTTCCGTGGCAGGGACGTCGATGATTCGATGCAGTAAATGAAGGGAAAATAAGCAGTAGCATTGGGATGATAGTATATAGCACATGTCTCAATAAGATTCCCATAACATTCTTCCTTGCCATGTTGACATTCAAACTGCCATCTATCACCATATTGTTGCTCCCTAGCATTTCCATAAGGCACTAGCGCTAGATTCATGATAGTACCGACAGCTTTGAAAGCTGGCCAGAGTTGCTGGTTTATAAAATTTTTACAATCTGGGCAAAGGCTTTCCAAATACAGCGTAAAATTCACAAGCTGTGCTTTGGCCTTTGGTATCGGTGTCAAATACGCCTCGCATTGTTTCTCCACTCCGCAGGTTTTGGCTACTTCACGGGATGAACACCAAACACTCGGTGGTAGAGGACAGGATTGTGGTGCAACCTCAGTAAAAAGTAAGATAGCACTTAACAAAATAACTGACAAGATTTTGGATGCCATTGCTAATATGGTTCACTTGACAAGACGAAGACCAATCTATGCCTGATTGTCACGAGACTATTATTTGGTTGCGTAACCTGACATATTCAGCTTCGTCATCTCGTTTATGCAAATATTATCATAGTTATTAATGAACGGACATAGAACAAAGAAATTTTAGAAGTTTCCTAACCAAAGACGGCTTGCCGACACACTAAACATTCATGGTAGGTTATTGTGTACTTTATGCTGGGTCACGGTTAATAATTTTGTGTTTTCGCTGCTGATGCAGAATTTTTAGACGCTTACAACGAATTGTGATATTTTTATAACCAAAGGAATAGAGGATGTACCTATTCCATCGCTTACGGATATTTCTAACTAGTCAAAAAAATGTGTAAGTTTAATTAAAACGCCGTTCAACCTCCACGATTGTTTCTTCAATAGCAATTTGAAGTTTTCCGGCTGATATAGTGATATACATTTCAGATGGTCTGAACATTCATGGTATTGCGAATTTCAGTTCATATCATGTTTTTATCTTTTAAGCCGGTTACGGACGAGCAAGTTTTATTTGCCAAGTGCACGTGTGTATATATGCAACAAATTTTATATGACAAGTTTTCATATGACAAGTTTTATTTACTGGTGTGAACGTGTCAAAAAAGGTGTTTATCGCCGCCATGACAGAAAAATTATAGTAGTCCGATGGCCAATCAATCAAATGCTCAGATTACTTTGACAAGTTTTCTTTGTTGACCCATACAGACGAACAAAATTTGTACTTTGACAATTTTTTCTATGACAAGTGCACTTGTTCAACAAGCTAGCATGCAACTAACTTGTCACATAAAAACTTGTGATAGAAAACTTGCTCGTCTGTAACCGGCTTTATGCAATTTTTATTCATATTCAAATATAAAATGCATAACTAACCAAATAGTGATGAATTGAACAATTTGCATACAATCATGTGTACGAAATATTGTCGTAAAGTAATATTGGCGTGTTCGGTCACTGCATGTCAGGCCACTACTTTAACTATCCCAAATAAAAAACTGATATGCTTTAATAATTGCCTATACGTGGTGACGACATTGGTGCTTTCAAACACAAACTGAGATCGCCCCCATCTAGGATGCGATTGACTAAAAATGACATATTGATTGCACTATCTATCAAAATATTCTAGGGGGATTTAATGCGCTACGTCACTACCACAGAATAAAGATCAGTACCAGAAGGGCCACTCAGCGGTGCAACGTGTCCCCATTTTTCTATGCAAAAACATGCAATTGACTGGCTAGGAAGATGGCGGCCAGCCAATACAGCGCGTTCATTGGCCAGAAAATGTAATCGACTGGCTAGGAAGATGGCGGCCAGGGGGCCCTTCTGTGTGCCTTATTCTGTGTCACTACTAAAAATTGAGCGTTGTGCTTTTTATAGCACCATCAATATATTTAGTATATTATACCTAAAATAATAAAAAGCAGTTAACCGTAACCTGCTGTTGATTTATACTTAATAGCTTATTAGCACGAAATCTCTATAGCTGGAAATCATCAGTGCATAGTTAGTAGAGAATAAACATGGTTTGGCAAACGTCATTGTTCTATGTTTTTGTCCAAGTTTATGGAAATTTGTACACTCGTATTCTGTATAATGAGGAGATTACCCAATAAAAACCTTAGTTTCAATCGCTGAACCGTAATATTTGAATATTAATAAACGCAAGACAAAAGATGTGTGCACTCGGAATTACATTTCAACATCAGTTGAAGTTTGAACAGGAAATTCTTTGAAGTTTACCGGCCTTCCTAACCATGTTTATTTCTATTAACTATGATCAGTGGCACGACTGTAGTCAGCCCGACAAATTGGTCACGCTATGTAAACTTCAAATCATCATCATTATTCATTTCTTTACAAATTGATTGTTTTTACGGTTTATGAACACGAAAATATTTGCACAGCATGATCAAATTGTCTGTCATCGTTTAAAATTTTTAAATTTTAAAAAGTGCTAAAGTGACGGATGGCGTTGACTAAAAATGACATTTGGTGTTGCGACAAAACTATAATAGGGCAATTGACATAATTTGAGGAAAGAAGCATTAATGTAGATGAACATCCGATATCAGCTGCATAAAACTTAAAAATACGACGTCTAAAACTGTCAAACTGTTATATACCTGTTTTTGAAAACTGTATCGAGCTACCTTAATTAATAATTAGCACGTTTCTGTGTCAATTCAAAAAAAAGTACAACATATAATGTACATGTAGTAATGTGCATTTATGTAGGCATTCCCATTCTATATATCAAGGATATCAAACCTTCTCTCCCAATCGTTCAATTTCATGGCGTTCACAAATTCATTTTCACCATGGATGTCAATCCTTCTTGTACACTGTAATTCCGCATCATGATGGTTTAAGGGCCCTCAAATTCTTTCTAGATAAACGCCCCAACCGGGAACTGTCTACTGCTGTCTTGGTCCGATTGGTTGAGTTGGTGCTTACCCTCAACAATGTTTCCTTCGATGGTGAGCATTTTCAACAGATAAGTGGTGTAACCATGGGAACCAAAATGGGACCCAACTATGCTATTTTTTTCTTGGTTTTGTGTAAAAACAGATCTTCGAACAATATACTGATCCCATTCCTAGTGATTACCTTGGGAGGTACATAGATGCATGCATGATCACTGTCTTCGCACAGCATCACTGGAAATCTTTTCAAAATCCTTACCATTGAAATAGTATGAATCTTCGTTGGAAATAGTATGGAAATCCAATTTTCATACTAATTGCAATTTCCGTACTGTGGATATAGTAGTATGGAAATAATATGGATATACTATGGATTTCAGTATTTTTTTCCAGTGTCATGTTCTCGTATCGAACGTTTTACTAACTTTGTTAATAATTTCCACCCAGCACTCCAGTTCACAAGGGAGATCAGTAAGACCAGTGTATCATTCTTAGATATCCTTACATCAATTAATGGAAATAAACTAGTTCTGTGTTCTACAAGACCACTGACTCCCACAGCAATCTTCTATTTTTCTCTTACCACCTCAACCACACCAAAAGGTCGATTCCCTTCTCTCAGTTCCTTCGCCTTCGCCGCATTTGCAGTGAAAATGAAGACTTCCAAGCCAAAAGTCTGGAAATGAGACACTTTTTGTTCAACATATATGGCTATCCCACCTCTCTCTTATAGACACTGCCTTTTCGAGGTCCTCCCAAATTCCCTGATCTGAGACCTTTACAGCCCCTATAGCCTGTGTCCAATGTCACAGGAAAGAACAAAATTCCCCTAGTTTTAACATGTCCTTTCAAATTTAGAGATGTCATTAGGAGGAATTTCCATATCTTGAAGAACGACCCTGAAACGCAAGTTCATAGTTCCTCATGCAGGGGTAAAGTATTTTGTGCTTCAAAGTTCGAATTCCTCAGGCGTATAAGGTGTTTGTGCTTGGAATTCTCCAATGCCAAGGGGTTTAGGCTTGGAATTTCTCAAAAGTATATCTATGTCTATGAGAAACATATGGTGTCCTGCTAGGACCTAGATGTGTACATCTGTGCCCCACATGCATGGGCATGTTCTTGTCAATCTTGTTCCAAGTTTAAAATTCGCCCCGAGGCCAATCTCCAAATTTCAAAATGTTGAAACATGTGTGGGATAAAGTGTGATATATTTTGGGGTGATTTGCGAAATTATGGAATTTTGTTAAGGTGGCTCGATATAGTTATCATAAAAACCCTGCTCAAGAATCGCGAATTCAAAACCGGGTGACCATTTTTACGTGCAGGTCGCAGAAACTGATTAACAAAATGAAAGAACTTCCAAAATGACCTGACGTGAGCAGAATTTTCCATTTTAGAAAAACAATGCGCTATATCTCTTTATTTTGTCTGGTGACCTATGTTCAAATTTTGCATGCTGTATTGCACCGCTAAAAACTTTCATTTTTCAAAAAATAAAAAATTCTGTAATGCCAAAAACATTTTACCGAAGAATATGACATTATCGCATTTTCCAAAAAAATTACATTACAGAATTTTTTATATATTGCAAATTGTCAGCTTTTCGCCCAAGTAAAATAATGCACGAAAAAAAATTGGGGGTCACCATGCTTTTTTCGAGACGATAGGCGATTTTGGAGTGAATTTCGTACACGTATGTCGTCATAGCAACGAACTATTGTTACTAAAACTAATATAATTTGGAAGTAGAGTTATCAAAATATATAAAAAACCCAATATCTGCTGAATAAATCCTAAAAATGCGTAGTTTGAACATGTCAAAGTGTTAAACACCTGAATTTTTGAAAACTGTATCGAGCCACCTCCTTATTAAAGAGGCGGTCAAGTCCGTTCAGCGGATGTGCAGTTTGTTCACATTTTGAAGACACTATATTCATAAAATATGCACTTAGTTAATATCGAATTAATATACACCCTTTTCATAAATGGCTGCCGATTAAAAATTCTTTTATGTGCATATAAATTGGCCCAACTAGCCTCGTTTCTGGGTAGAAATTCCTTTGAAATCTTAACATGAGTACGAGGCTAGTTGGGCCAATTGATATGCACATAAAAGAATTTTTAATCGGCAGTCATTTATGAAAAGGGTGTATAGAGTAGAGTTTTAGAAGGCGTCGAAACAACGCAAAATCTGCGCATGCGTGTGTACTAGAAAAAATGGCGAGGAATATAAATGTAAAAAAAAAATGGCTATTCAATTATTTAAGAATTAAGGTAAGTGAAAAAAATCAAAGCAAATACACTAGACGAGTAGTTTGGACATCAATAAAAATTTTTCTAACATTTAAAATCTAAAAAGAAACAGAATTTAAATTAAAAATTATCGTTTTAGGTAGGGAGCGGTGTGAACATTTCTTGAAAAATTGTTGAATACCGAACTTAAGACACGATAGTTAAGCAAACTATCAAAGAGTTTGCACACGCTTAAATTATAGAGTAAATCATTTGTAGAGTAAATCAACGCAAAAATTATGTGGATCATATGAACCTACAAAAAATATCTTTGTATGGTTCAGTTAAAGAAC